ATAAGAACCCTCTTAAAGGCCTATCACCGTGGGTTGTGTGAGCTTTACTTTATTCCATGAGGCTATCATCGTTGTTTTAATTGCGATTAGAACCCTCTAAAAGGCCTATCACCATGGGTTATGTGAGATTTACTCCATTCCAAGAGCTTTTCACCAAATAAGATTACAATACACAAACTGCTTATTGTAAACTATGTAAGCTATGCTGTCATTACATTCTTAGTATAACTGATACTGTCTCAATTTTCTTCATAGAGACCCGACCAACCTGGAAATGTAGCTTTTTATTCCTAAACCGCGTGGTATTTTCAACTTCATCAAAACGTGATTTAGTGGTCTGACATAAACACTCGTGGTAGCAATCGGAACACCTCGGCTATTATCAATAATAACATCGGACTAAATACTGATTGACAAGTATTAGCATTTCCAAAAATGCTTGGAATCGCTGTTCAGCCATGAATATAGAAATAATATTTGCTTTCTTGCCTAATACTTTATTGTATGGGTCAACACATAAATCCAACAAAAATACTTGATTTACTCTACCATTCCGTTCTTGTCGCGCTCAGTTAAATTCTGCTGGGTCAGAATGTAGGAGATACTCAGTATTGCACATGAGAAAAATATCACAATAACTTGACTCGTAGTACAATGTTATTAATTGATTAATAAGTACGTGCATCAAGAATTAGCTTCATGCGTAATTAACAACAGTTACTTGCTACACATTAAAATTGATGTCTGTGAACATGCTATAAATGGAAGTTACGTTATATATTCAGTGGACTTCTTTGCGAAGTGTTTTTTTTTTCTAAAACGGACTATAACTTACCTTTTATATGTGATAATAATAACAACACTAATAGCATTCAAATCGCCCGGAAGAAAACATCTATAAAGTTTTTTTCTTTAAGTGCAAGTTTTGGAAAGTAAACAAAACATACTCTTGTTTAGACTACATTCTCTAATAAGAAATATCATGTAGCAAAATATATTGCAATTTGCTGTGTTTATCCTGAAAGAGACTAAAGACTGGTTCCGAGTTCGTACATTGATAAGGGTATTTTTCAGTTGTACGAATAAGTAACCCGACAAAACATGGCGGTTGGGCCAGTCCTTTTAAGCATCCCTCAGTGACGTTTTTTGACGTCCATTTTGTTATCATGTGATACTGAACTATTCGCTTTGATTGGCTAAAGGCAGGCGGTGTACAGGTAGAATTGTTCAAATCTTGTCAATTGTATATATCGCCGTCCAGGAACGGCGATAAAAACAGAGTGTGTAATCATTGATAATGTAAAACGAATGTATATATTTGACATCCGAAGAAAAATAAAGTATAATCGGTAAAATATTATTGAAAATATGCCTGACAATCATAATCAATTTAAGTTGCCCACTAATGTACAGTTACAACAAAAATCAAATTAATTTCAACAGGTAGACTTTTTGTCCTTTTGATTTTTACAACCATTATCATGAGTTATATAAATAATGTACTGTTTACTAATATACTTAATATTTAGGTAGACTTTAACGCGATATATTGGTGTAAATATAGTCATAAACTCCTAGCATTTAATAAATATTTGTTCACATATTAAGTTTCTTATTCTAACTTTTGTGTTCGAGGTTCTAATCCGAAGTCTGACGGGCCGAGATGATGCAATTAACGCGGTAGAACACGTTATTACAACAAGAGCGATCAGTAATCACATGTGTCGCCTCATGATGGCCAATTTCATGTTGGGACAAATTTTGTGACACACAGACGGACAGTGCACAACTAGACTTGGTACTGATCATTCCTGTAAAGTTTGGATAAAATTGCACCAGAAGTTTATGAGGAGTAGTCCGGACAAGCTTTTGCGTATCTGGCAACACACAGAAAAAAAAACCTTTTTATCAAAGGGCCATAACTCGGCCAAAAATCGTTCAACCGCAAAAACCCGTGCAATATGCGCAAGGACTTGAACTACAGATCAATCCTGTAAAGTTTCATTGAAATTGCATAAGTGGTATAAGAGAAGTAGTCCGAACAAACTTTAAAAATAAAAATTATTAAAGGGCAATAACTCAAACAAATTATTGAACCGAAAAATGCTGACAATATGCACAACTAGACTTGGTACTGATCATTCCTGTAAAGTTTGGATGAAATTGCACCAGTAGTTTATGAGGAGTAGTCCGGACAAGCTTTTGTGTATCTGGCAACACACAGAAAAAGAAACCTTTTTATCAAAGGACCATAACTCGGCCAAAAATCATTCAACCGGAAAACCCGTGCAATATGCACAAGGACTTGAGCTACAGATCAATCCTGTAAAGTTTCATTGAAATTGCATTAGTGGTATAAGAGAAGTAGTCCGGACAAACTTTAAAATTAAAAATTATTAAAGGGCCATAACTCTGACAAAAATCATTGAACCGGTAAATGCTGACAATATGCACAACTAGACTTGGTACTGATCATTCCTGTAAAGTTTGGATGAAATTGCACCAGTAGTTTATGAGGAGTAGTCCGGACAAGTTTTGTGACGGACGGACGGACAGACGGACAGACAGACAGACAGACGGACAGACGGACGACGGAGAAGTGATCCCTATATGTCGCCACTACTCCGTAGAGGCGACACAAAAAGTGAAGTTGTGATATAGTAGATATGTCTCTTTTCACAACCGTGAATATTGAACTCTTCTGGAAAACATAACATTTTCCCAGAAACAGTCAGGTGACACGCCCCTGCTTAGAAACCTATGTACACCATAGAACTTCAATTTTCAAATTTGTCGGATTAGCACGGACACACATTTCTTTTAAATTCACACAGCTGTGTCAAAAAATCACCGTCGACATCGAATACATGACAGCCTATATGGTGTCATGTACATGTTTCAATGTTTGGGTCACATCCGAAATTGAGGAAAAAATATGGAATGTTTACTATGAATACACTGAAATATTGCAGAACCGAAGCCTGAAGCCAAAAAGATTTCATTTTATTGCTCAAAAGACGTTAACCATGATAATGGCTCTAACAAAAATTTCAGGTTTCAGATTTTATTCAAAACCGAGGTATACATGTAAAATATGCATAATGTTATGAAAGGTTTACAACATTTAATAATGAACAGTTATTCAAATGTGATTAAAGATATACTATGTTCATCCTTGAGTAAATTATTTCTATCGCAGAAATGTTTTGAAATCTATAAAATTCTTACTGAATTTGTCTTATTTAAATAATTAAAAGAAAGAATACACTATGTATAGGAATCTGCGTTCCCTATAACAGGTCATGTAAAGTTGATCCTTTCTTAAAAAACTGCCAGTTTTTTAATGACCAAATATCAAATAAAGTGTATAAAGTTTTTTATCATTAACATATCTACTTTATGTGAAGCCAAAAACATGTTTATTTTATGTTTACAAAGAGACTGTGTAGCAATTATCAATATTTTCTGACATGAAAATTGAGCATAGTGCCATAAAATTATATGATAAATGAGAACATTTTAACACATATAACACATATAGGTATTTGCTTTAAGATAATTCGTCTTACATAAATGTTATCTAAATTAATATGATATGTTAATACAACCATACAGAGGTAACAAAACTGGTTGAGAAAATCATGAGAATGAGTTATTTGAATTTTGAAATCATAATTTTACAGAATAATGCTACTTTTAATAAAGTTAAATGGTCAGAGCTATTAATTAAAGAATCAAATTTATAAATGTTAGAATGAGTTGACAATTTTGTGTCAATATACCTTTACGAGTACAAACACGTAGTGGAATTCATCCACAAGAGAATTGTATAGACATAAATGACATGTTATTTGGTTTCTTTCAATATGTAAATGTCTACCTTTTTCTATTGGTAATAGGTGGTTCATAGTTCTGAACTTACAAAGAATGCTACAGAGATTAAAAGGTAATATATCTAAACATTCCTCGAAACAAAAATCTTTCTTATACACACAATAGGAGATTCATTTATGGTACTTTACCAAATCTGTAAGAACTGGACAGGTCTTTTAATCTATTTTCACAAAAGCTTTAAAACTATCTATAATACCAATACATTGACTATCAAAATAGTTTGATTAGCCAAAGTAATCAAGAGTATTTTAAACAAGTTAGATCAAAAGAAAGATCATAAGATTTTTAACATGTAAATGGATAACTGTATTTTACAATATTTTACATATTTTATCATTTCTTAAACTTATTATCTTACTCCAGTAACACAATTTCTTGTTAAACATGCAGTTCTAAAGAACTAATGTCCTGTTTCACCATATATCAAAGACAATCGTTAAAGGTCCATTATCCCCCAGAAATCCTTTTTATTTCTATTTCTTTAAAGCTTTATATTCATTGTGTCCCGTGTTAGTCTCCAAAAAGTTTATTTATTTCTTCTTTCTCTACACCATCATTTGCTGCTACAAATATTGTTTCAAAAATTAACATAAAACTTTGTTTACATTTATTTTTTCTTTTATGACAAATAATTTTTGCATTTGGCGCTACTTACTTCATGTGATAAGCATCTAACATGCTGTGCATTTTTTAACATTATAAAACTCGTGTTTGCTCTCTTTCTAAAGAAGAGAAAAAAAATCGTTTCTGAGGCATAATGAGCATTTGAGCCGTGCCATGACAAAACCAACATAATGGGTTTGCGATCAGCATGGATCCAGACCAGCCTGCGCATCCGCGCAATCTGATCAGGATCCATGCTGTTCGCTATCAGGTTCTCTACTTGTAATAGAGTTGGTAAGCGAACAGCATGGATCCTGATCAGCCTGCGCGGATGCGCAGGCTGGTCTGGATCCATGCTGATCGCAAACCCATTATGTTGGTTTTTGCTTCTGTTCTCACATGTATTTACAATTTGAAATAAGTTATCCCTCTATATTATATCGGATTTTTAAATTCAAATGACCATTACCATGCCATCTGAACTTCATCAAAAGACCATAATTAAATTCATCATATTTTTTTAATATATGCACTTTATTCTATGACAAGCATCACTAAACAGTTAAAACGTCAGTCTGTTCTTTCTTCATAACTTCATCATATGAAGGTGGTGGATCATCAAGTTGGCTTTCAATCTTAGCGGAAGAATTTGGTCCAGTTTCTCCTACCACCTCACTAATGTCTGGAGCAGAAGACTCGTATACTTGCATGTTATTGTCATTATTACTATTGTATGATGGAGAACGAAAGTGATTTATTCTAGCCTCAGACAATGTTTCCTGTATGGCATGTTCTTGCTGCTGCCGATTGTAGATCTGTCGGTCGATGTACGGAGGACTTGGTTCAATGTGGTAATTGTCAAACCCATGGAATGTATCGCCGCTTTCCATGCAATTATGTGAACTATTCAGTAAAGGCACACCAAATGTTGAAGCGTTGCAACAGCACGTGAAAAATATTGCCAATGACAAAATGAATAACATCAAAGTCAGTATTATTGTCACAATAGAAATTGCCATTTTAGATTCAGCAGCACTGGAACATGCTGGAAAACAAAATACAAGTTTGGAAAATAAATAAGTTAAGTCAGTATGTTAAAGATCGATATGAAAGGAGTATCTTAACCACTAACACCAAGTCAAAACAAACCAATGGCAGTCTAATACTTATTGAATGAGAAACTGGGAAAATGTTATGTTTTTACATGCAAGGTATGAATATTTAGAATATACGCAGTGGACAAGCTTTCTATGTTGAGATGGTACACACTAAAAAAGCGTTCTTTGTTGAACATGTCGAAAGCAAAAAAAATAAATAAATAAAAGAAATTATTTGGTCAGTCATTTTTTCAAGTTTAACAAGTAAAAGGTTTGATGTTTGAAAAGGTGTTTAGAGAATTGAATTTCGATATTTTACACATATCCCAAATATTCCAAGAATAAAAGCTCAAAATAGTCAAACTGTATAAATAAAAATGTGCAAACACTTCAGTTGACAGTTCCATGTAATCTATGATAACTACCTTTTAGCTTTAATTCTTCATTAGAACACGAAACTACGCCATATATCCCAGAAAGTCCAAACGCAAAACTGACAGCTAATATGGTAATACCACACCAGATTACCATTAACGTTGTCTGAAATAAAAACATTAAATAATTATGAAGCTGTTTAGCTAGCTATACTGGATCTTCGTTCTTCGTGGCCGACAATCTAAGAGATCGTGTCCGACAAGTTTAGAGATCGTGGCCGACAAACTTAGAGATCGTGGCCGACAAGTTTAGAGATCGTGGCCGACAAGTTTAGAGATCGTGGCCGACAGGTTTACAGATCGTGGCCGACAAGTTTAGAGATCGTGGCCGACAAGTTTACAGATCGTGACCGACAAGTTTACAGATCGTGGCCAACAAGTTTAGTGATTGTGGCTGACAAGTTAAGAGATCGTGGCAGACAAGTTAAGAGATCGCTTACTTTATATCACTTGTTTTACATCGCTGTGGGTAGAGATTGAGACAGTTATCCAGCTACCTTACGAAAGGTTCACTTAGATGCCTGCTCCTTGGAGGGGCATGGCGTCTTCCTGAAACAGTAAAGCTGTAAAGCCGTTCTATGACTTTATAATCAGTGTATTCTCGTCCAAAATGTTAGTATTTTTCATCAAATAACGGGTTGTCTACTACTTACGCAACAACTAAAACACTCTGTCGTGTAGCTTGGAACTTCTGATTTTCTGTCTTCACAATACAATGTTATTGGACAGCACGACAGTAACAATGTCTGCAAATCCAAACAAGAACCAGAAATTAGTATTAAACACACTAAATGTTGTTTATGATATTATTAGCTTTTTCAGGATTTCTTAAATCAAAAACGCATTTAAACATACAATAAATAAGAGCCCTTCAAATGTTTGAAATTTATCGATACCAAAGAGAGAAAAAAGAAACTTTTGTTGTCTGGGTGTTCTCTAGATCTTTCCTACGCAAATGCTGAATCGCTGTTCTATCGGTGATTTTGTCCGCTTTGCAAACTCTTTTGCTTTTATTAATTTAGAGTGCTATTTCTTGGACATAATCTGACCAAATAACACCAGGCCTCGGGTACACAGTCTAAAATTTTCAGGGAATAGATGGACTGAAAACATGACACATCTGTAAACCATAATTGCCAGTATAAATCTCGTAGATGATCTTAACATACCAATATTCCCGCAATCATGGCCCCGCCGACAGTAAACGGAAATTCCCATTGCTCTTGCGTCACAGAGATGGAAACCATACCAATCGCTATGGCAACAATCGAGACAACCAACGTTATCCCACCAAGTATACCTATACACCTGGTCAATGCTAACCTGCTCTCAAAATCTGTAATGGTAGAATTATTTCATAAATAAATATTTTATGAATGACGTAAGTTCAAAATTTCAGTTCCGTTAGTTAATGAATATTTCACTGTCAAACATTTTCTCCTTAAATGTCATGCTCTTGAACTGGTTTTTTTATAGATATTATACCGATTAAATTCACTTTAAGAACTTTTTGACTCACTTTCTTCCAAAACGTTGATCGACAATTTAAAAGAAATCAAACCTGTATTCTATTAGATGAATTAACTAACTCATTATTGGCACGGCGTCGTCTCTTATGGAATGCTTTTTATTTTGGCCTATGGAAGGAGCTGTTATTATTAGCAGTCAATGTCATGTTGTGTTAATTAGTTTAATTTTGATTCGTAAAAATCAAGTTAACAAATATGCTGTTATATTTGTATTTAATAACTTTATGTAAAAAGCATGTGCATTGTGATATTATTTTCACGAAATTGCAGGCTCAATTTAACAGCTTGTCCCTTAGTTTTATTGACAATACTAAAACCCGTATTTCGAATATCGTTGTGGTCTACATTGATGCCGTATCCATTCATTCATTCATTTATATATTTTCAAAATTTTCTTACAAGAAGAAAGTTCACCTGCAAATGAGTATTATGATAGGTAATGAACTGTTGTAAACGATTATCCTATTGTTTTTATTCATATTACGTTTATCTGTTGTACAGAATGGTTGTTTTTAACAAAGTGTACCCGTATCCGGATGTTGAAAGCTATCCGATTTTCTGCAATTACTGCTTTCACATGACCATTTTTTATGAATACTTCACCATTAATTTGCATGGCTTAATAAAACTGAGCCTGCAACATTTCATAATTTTGCTGTTTATGGTGTTCTTTTGGGTTTCATGTTTTCTCTATTTTAAGGGGAAGTAACTCATGTTTACTAAATTAGTTGTTCTTTTCCGTCTGTCTTAGGTATTACTTACTATTTTGTTGTATAAAATGTACCAGTTGTAAGGTCATCAAAAGCATAGATAGAGGCCCTGATGAGTGAATATTGATAGATTTTTTTACTGGCTTTAAGTGAATATTGATAGATTTTTTTTACTGGCTTTATATACCTTAGACGTGTAGTTTGTTCAGTTAGAACATACCTACAGGTTTTCTGCTAGAGGAATCTTCTAATCAATATGTGAAACTAATTATTATTTTCTATGCGTTTGTATATAAATTGTTAATAAAATAACCTTTGGTGAAAATGAAAGGTATAATATTAAAGCTATACATATAGGTGCTCATTTTAAACACTTGATATATATGCAGTTAGTTATATAGTAAAGTCTAATGGAAGGTTAAAAGAGGGATTCAATGCTTAGACACTCACACAACTCAATCTTTATTACATTATATAGACTATTTGAGATTTTTTTTCACTTTTATACTATCAATATAGTGGGGAAAATGTTGTGGTTTAGAACTGTTTCATTATTAAAGAGAAAATGTGTGGCCGGCCGGATAGCTCAGTTGGTCTTCTGAAGATCATGGTTCGAGTCATGGTCAGGCAGTTTCAGTCAGGTTTTAGAAGTGGCTTTTCAACTGACACATGTTTGATTCATTTAAAAGATTGCATTAAATTTGAAATAAACAAAGGCAGTATTGTATGATACTTTTAGATCTACAAAGGGCATTTGATAAAGTTGATCACACTATACTGCACATGAAGAAGTTCTTTTTCTTCTTCGTCATGAAATTTCAAGCATCTGGCATATGTAATGACATTCTTACATGGTTTAAGTCTTATCTCTGATAGACAATAGCTGGTGGATGTGGCTGGTACTCATTCTACTGCTGCTCTGAATACCTATGATGTCCCCCTGAGGTTCATTTTAGGTCCTTTTTATGTCTAATATATGTCAATGACATGTCTGCAACCCAACCCTAAGTAATAAGCTTTTTTATATGCACAGGCACAAGTGTCAGACCTGGGAAGAAGAGATATGACCAGATTGATAAAAAAAATTGTGTTCATCTTAAAAGTGTCAAAAACCCCAAAAAAATGTAAATAATTACCTTCTTTAAAAATATACTATTAACTTATTGTATATTTTTAAAGGGGGTTATTATTTACATTATTTTTGGATTTTCACACTTTTAAGATGAACATAGTTTTTTTATCACTCTGGTCATATTTTTTCCCAGGTCCGATACTCGTGCCTGTGATTATATGCTGATGACTCAGGTATCCTTGTATCTGGTAAAATAAATCTGAAGAAATTCTTTCTTATAGCATGAGTAATCTATAAGATTGGTTAATTGACTATAAATTGTCCTTGCATCTTGGCAAGACAGAGTCTACTCTTTTTGGTTTAAGTTTCAACTTAAACTGGGCCTAGCCTCCAGGTCACATATAATGGTACTGCTATAAAGTACACATCTTTTGTTAAGTATTAAGGTGCAAATCTGGATCAATTTCTTTTGGCGTCGCCCTTTGATGCTTTGCATCAATACTTTTCTTGTATAACCTTGTACTAACCCTATTTTATGTTTAATAATCTTATGTCAACAAGTTTTCGGCACGGTATGACAAGTTATGTATCTATTGTGCCGTTAAACCAAAACAAACAAACAATTTTTTTTTTTTAAAAAGGATAAAATACCTAAAACGTAAGATCTGTGTGTTTGTATCACAGATATTAATAATTTACTTGGTTACACCAACGTATATTGTCGTGTATCAGCCAATATTAACAAGCGTTTTCTTGATACTTGAACCTTAACATTATTCACAGTGCAACGAAACATTGCATCTAAAAATAAACCTTTTATTTGATTTTATGGCTAAGGAAAAACACATGCAGAATTTTAGATAACGATCGTCAGTAATGTAATAGCCTGTTTTTCAATAAACCAAATAAAGGAGTAAAACTAACCTTCCGAGGCCATTTTCTCCAAACTGTTTTTTAGCAACAACACTCCTTTGTTACCCTTTAAACGGCAAATAATATACGATTTCTATATCCTATGTAAGTTCGACAACCTCTGAATCATTGCATCAAACTCCGTTTTTATTTAGCTGAAATCGGAAACATTCTGGAAGAAATCAACATGTTTGAGGCCTCAGTATCATATATATTCTTGTAACAAAAGTCCATACGATATGAATTAGTTACGAAAGACCGATGAGGACATTTCAACTAAATATGAATTCACGATTTCAACTTCTGATAATTCATGATTTCCTCTTCATGAATTCACAATTTCACCATCACAATTCAACTTTGTGAATTCACTATTTCAACTTCACGAATTCACGATTTCAACTTCATGAATTCGCAATTTCAACTTCACGAATTAACGATTTCAACTTCACGAATTCACGTTTGATACAAGTTGTATAGATATGAGTAAACATGAAGTAATTGACTGTACTAATTCAAGATTTCAACGATTTCAACTTAATGACAAATTCACGATTTCAACTTCACGTGAATTCATGAAATTGAAATCGTGAATTAGTACAGTCAATTACTTCCTGTATACGCATATCTATACAACTTGTATTAAACAACCTCGAATCAGCTTTATAAAAAGAACCTTCATTCAGTATTTTGTTATCGGATTTTAACAATAACAGTAACATAAGTTACATCCAATTAACATATAAAAAACATCACATAGTAATTACTTTAAAACAGATGATGTATATGTATAAAAATAATTCAACGTTTACCTGTGCCAAATATAATCCACATAGTTTCTACATAAATGAATGTTCAGGAAAGCGTGAAATGTTGTTTAATAAAATCATTCAAGAAAGGTGTCATACAAAATGGGTAAGTATGATTTTGAAATAGACAAATATTAAGTACTCTCTTATTAAACATCATTCTCCTGATAACGGGAAGTGGTTTGAAATTTAGGTTAACACACAGTGACTGCAAATAAGATGTTAATAATATTCATATGATGATGATGATAATGATAATGATGATGTTGATGATGATATAGGTGTTGGTGATGGTAGTACTGGTGATTTTGATGATGTAGATGATGATGATGGTGGTAGTATGTGCTGGTGGTGATGATGATGACGATGATGGTGGTGGTGGTGATGATGATGATGATGCGGATGATGATGATGATGATAATGGTGGTATTGATGATTATGATGATGACAACGATGATTCTGATACTGATAGTGATGATGGTACTGGTGAGTTTGATGATCACGATGATGATGATGATGATAATGATTGTGATGGTGATAATGATGATAACGATGCTGATGATAATGATTGTGACGATGATACTGGTGATTTTGATGGTCACGATGATGATGACAATGATTGTGATGATGATAGCGGAAATAATGATGATAACAATGATGATGAAAATGGTTTTGGTGATGATACTATGATGATGATGATGATCGGGATACAAGTAATAGTAATGTTTCCAAATTGTTGGATTCTTTTCTAATAAATAAAAAGTAAAGTTAGACAAAAAATTCAATTTCTTAAGTAGGAGATTAATCGACCTAGTGTTATTTAAAGAAATGGGAATAAAACAAAACGTCAAACGATCATATTTTAACGGTTAGTCTAAAAAAAAATCTAACAAATCATTTTAAAATTGTATCTCAATAATATATTATTTAAATGTCCTTATGTACATGAAGCTAATGGCAGTAATCTTGGATGAAAATGTAATGAAACTGCAAACAGTTCCTAAAACGTTTATTTTGATATATAAAACCCCTTTTTTACTGAAATAAGCAGTTTCTATCACAATCGCATCTTTTCGGTCCTTGATAAGGTATTTCGGTTAAAATTAATACATGAATGTAAATAAATAGTAATTTAACGCTAGGAGCTACTGACTTAGTTTTGGTAAAGGTCCACGTAAATGAGGCAAACTTATAGATACAAACGTAAACAGTACATTATTTTTATACTTATTATTATGATAATAGAAACTGCAAGTACAAAATAATGACAATTATTCGGATTTGATTATACCTGTACATCAAAGAGCATCTTTAACTGACTATGATTGTCAGACATATTTTCAATCATCATTTTACCGAATCAGACTTTATTTTTTTTTTTTGGATGTCAAATATATACATTCGTTATACATTATCGAAGATAACATCCTCTGTTTTTGCTAAAACCACGTGGTAAGTCCGAGGGCATGAGAGATAACAGCCCAGAGGAGGTTCCAATTGTTTCTCTTTAACTAGATAGTCCGGTCTGTACCGGTTCTGTCAGGTTCTTACATTCTCATTACTTCGTCATATGACGGTGGTAGATCATCATATCGACTTTCAATCAAATCTGAAGAATGTGGGCTGGTTATTTCTGTCACAAAAACAATCAATTTTGTTGTTTTTAATTTTTCCGAGGAATCACATTTTCCAGATATTGATTTCATTTGATTTTTTTTAAATGGATATCAAAGATTAACACTGTTTAATACACTAATATATCAAATCGCCTAAAATGTCAATAATTACCACATATTTCGCTGATGAAATAAATATCATGATAGACATTCGTAATTACATAATAGTTAATAACAATTTTGCATTTCTTTCTATTTTGACCACTGCTCAAAACATTTTATGTCCCATGTTAGAATCTATAAACTAATTGTACTTATAGTTGAAACCGATGTCTTTCTGATCAGAACTGCATATTTTTAATGTATCAACTTTCAGCCAGCCCGACTCTTCTAATAAGTCTAAACAGTTTTAATATATATTCTCAATCTAGTAACACTATGTCAAACAAAAACGTTGTAAGTTCACGCCATCTTCATACTTCACAGCCACACTAGAATTGCACCAAGAAGGGTGCTGCAAAGAAATGTGATAAAATAATGGGGAAAAAAGGTACAAAATTCATAGAAAGTGAGCAACCTAACCAACAATCCAAATTCATATCAAACTCAGGAAACCCTAAAATTGCTAACAAAATAACTTGAAGATGTACTTTTTTAAAACCTTTCTTCGTAGTTTATACTAGTAGGACAAAGATAACTATAACCGTTCAAAAAAATTCCATAGAAATGATATAAAGACATAGAATAAAATTAGATATTATCGTGAAATCATTTTATTTTGCTGACATAAAATTTGGTGCATATGTCACAAAACGTGTACATGTATTCTCAACCAAAACCTAAAAAATAAATTTGATTTACTGATGGTATACATTTGAAAAAAAATCTGGAAAAAAGTAGATACCTCAGAATCATTTATCACAACAAAATAACATGAAAATTGCAGACTCGATTTGAATGTAACAGCACATGAGGCATAATGTAAAACTGCAATGACAGTCAGCAATGTCCACTTTGAACACACAACCTGACATTTTTCTCACACTGTCGATACTTTTATAAATATACGTATGAAAATTAAAGATGATTACTGTTTCCTTCTTATTCTAAATCGCTTTCTTCATGTGATAAGCATCTAACATGCTGTACAACCATTTTTGCTGTTTCTAAAGAAGAAAAAAAAATAGTTTCTGAGGCATAATGAGCATTTAAGCTCTTACTTTTGCTCAATCCGATCACGCACTTACTTGCGTAAAAATACTAGTAGGTTGTGGTTGCACCGTCTGTTAGTGTTATTTATGACATTGCGTGTTATGGGTAAGCATTGGTGCTAATGATAACTAAGTATTTGCTTTATCTTATAACTCATGAAACCTTAAGCGGCATAGCTTCTGTTCTTACATGTATTTACAATTTGAAAGTTATCCCTCTATATTATATCGGATATTTAAATTCAAATGACCATTACCATGCCATCTGAATTTCATCAAAAGACCCTCATTAAATTTATCATATTTTTTTTAATATATGTACTTCATTCTATGACAAGCATCACTAAACAGTTATAACGTCAGTCTGTTCTTTCTTCATAACTTCATCATATGAAGGTGGTGGATCATCAAGTTGGCTTTCAATCCTAGTGGAAGAATTTGGTCCAGTTTCTCCTACCACCTCACTAATGTCTGGAGCAGAAGATTCGTGTACAGGCATGTTATTGTCATTATTACTATTGTGTGCTAAAGAACGAAAGCGATTTATTCTAGCTTCAGACAATGTTTCCTGTATGACACGTTCTTGCTGCTGCCGATTGTAGAGCTGTCGGTCGATGTCTGGACGCCTTGCTACAATGCGATAATTGTCAAACCCATAGAATGTATCGCCGCTTTCCGTGTAATTATGTGAACTATTCAGTAAAGGCACACTAAATGTTGCAGCGTTACAACAGCACGTGAAAAAAATTGCCAATGACAAAATGAATAACATCAAAGTCAGTATTATTGTCACAATAGAAATTGCCATTTTGGCTTCAGCAGCACTGGAACATGCTGGAAAACAAAATACAAGTTTGAAAGATAAGCAAGTTAAGTAATGTTAAAGATCGATATAAAAGGACTCACCAAGTCAAAACAAACCTATGGCAGTCTAATACTTATTGAATGAGTAACTTTCACATGCAAGTTTTGAATACTTAGAATATACACAGAAGACAAGCGTTCTATGTTGAGATCGTCAACACTAAAAAAAGCGTTCTTTGTTGAAAATGTCGAAAGCAAAAAAAGAAAGATATCAAAGAAATTATTTGGTCAGTCATTTTTTGGGGTTTAACAAGTTAAAGGCTGTTCTGAAAATGTGTTTGGAGAATTGAATTTCGATATTTTACACATATCCTAAATATTCCAAGATAGTCAAACTGTATATATAAAAATATGCAAACACTTTAGTTCAATTCTATGATAACTACCTTTGAGCTTTAATTCTGCATTTGAACACGAAACTACGCCATATATCCCAGAAAGTCCAAACGCAAAACTGACAGCTAATATGGTAATACCAAACCAGATTACCATTAACGTTGTCTGAAATAAAAACATAAAATGAGCCACGTCACGACAAAACCAACATAATGGGTTTGCGACCAGCATGGACCCAGACCAGCATCCGCGCAGTCTGATCAGGGTCCATGTTGTTCGCTATCAGTTTCTGTACTTGTTAAAAGGTTTAAAAGGTTTAAAAGTTTTAAACCTTTTAACAAGTAGAGAAACTGATAGCGAACAGCATGGATCCTGATCAGACTGCGCGGATGCGCAGGCTGGTCTGGATCCATGCTGGTCGCAAACGCACTATGTTGGTTTTGTCGTGACGCGGCTCAAATAATTAAGAAGCTATACTGGATCTTCGTTCTTCGTGACCGACAAGTTTAGAGAACGCGGCCGACAAGTTTAGCCGACAAGTTTAGAGATCGTGGCCGACAAGTTTAGAGATCGTGGCCGACAAGTTTAGAGATCGTGGCCAACAAGTTTATAGATCGCTTATTTTGTATCACTTGTTTTTCATCGCTGTGGGTAGAGATGTGAAAAAACTATCCAGCTACCTTACGGAAGGTTCACTTAGGTGCCTGCTCTGTATACTATCATGGCGTCTTCCTGAAACAGCAAAGCTGGAAACCGTTCTATGAATTTACCATTAGTGTTTACTCATCCAAAAATGTTAGTATTTTCTACTAAACATTGCTGCATTTTGAAACGGATTGTCTACTACTACTTACGCAACAATTAAAGCACGTGAAGCTTGGAACTTCTGATTTTCTGTCTTCACAATACAATGTTATTGGACAGCACGACAGTAACAATGTCTGCAAATCCAAACAAGAATTATAGTGACATACAGAAATTAGTATTAAACACTAAATATTGTTTATGATATCAGCTTTTTTAAATTTTAAAATCAAAACCGCATTCAAACATACGAAAAATAAGAGCTCTTCAAACGTTTTGAAGTTTATCGCTACCAAAGAGAATAAGGAAAAATTTGTTGTTTGGATGTTCTCTATGGATTTTGATTATCTCTAGATCTTTCCTACGCTGCTCTATCGGTGATTTTGTCCACTTTGCAAATATATTTTGCTCTTAATAATTTAGAGTGCTATTTCTTAGACATAAACTGACGAAATAACATCGGGTACACAGTCCAGAAATTAGTATTAAACACTAAATATTGTTTATGATATCAGGCATCGGATACACAATCCAAAGTTGTCAAATGACCCTCCTGTTTACCATATATAGTATAAATCGAATAGATGATCTTTACATACCGATATTCCCGCAATCATAGCCCCACCGGCAGTAAACGGAAATTCCCATTGCGCTTGCGTCACAGAGATGGAAAAAATACCAATCGCAATGGCAACAATCGAGACAACCAACGTTATCCCACCAAGTATACCTATACACCTGGTCAATGCTAATCTGCTCTCAAAATCTGTAATGGTAGAATTATTTCATTAATAAATATTTTATGAATGGAGTAAGTTCAAAATATAAGTTACGTTAGTTAATTAATAAATATTTCACTGTCAAACATTTTCTCCTTAAATGTTATGCTCTTGAACTGGTTCGTTATAGATATTATACCGATAAAATTCACTTTAAGAACTTTTTGCCTCAGTTCCTTCCAACACGTTGATCGACAACTTAAAAGAAATAAAACCTATATTCTAAGATGAACTAACTAACTCATTTTATAACCTTGTACTAACCCTTTTTAGGTTTGATAATCTTATGTCAACAAGTGTTCGGCGCGGTATGACAAGTTTGTATCTATTGTGCCGTTAAACCAAAACAAACAAACAAACAACCAGCAAACAAACAAACAAATTTTAAAAAAGGATAAAATACCTTAAACGTAAGATCTGTGTGTTTGTATCACAGATATTAATAATTTACTTGGTTACACCAACGTATATTGTCGTGTATCAGCCAATATTAACAAGCGTTTTCTTGATACTTGAACCTTAACATTATTCACAGTGCAACGAAACATTGCATCTAAATATAAAACTGTCATTTGATTTTATGGCTAAGGAAAAAACACATGCAGAATTTTAGACACCGATCTTCAGTAATTTAATAGCCTGTTTTTCAATAAACCCAAAAAAAGGAGTTAAACTAACCTTCCGAGACCATTTTTTCCAAACCTGTTTCTTAGCAACAACACTCCTATATCACCTTTTAAACGACAAATAATATACGATAACTATATCCTATATGTAAGTTCGACAACCTCCTAACAACGCTTCTGAATCATTGCATCAAACTCCGTTTTTATTCAGCTGAAATGGGAAACATTCTGGAAGAAATCAAAATGTTTGAGGCCTCAGTATCATATATATTCTTGTAACAAAAGTCCATACGATATGAATTAGTTACGAAAGACCGATGAGGACATTTCTTCAACTTCACGCATTCACGATTTCAACTTCATGAATTCTCGATTTCAACTTCATGAATTAACGATTTCAACTTCACGAATTAACGATTTCACCATCACAATTCAACTTTGTGAATTCACTATTTCAGCTTCACGAATTCACGATTTCAACTACAGTCCAACCCTGTTTATTCGAAGTGCCTGGGACTGGATATATACTTCGAATAATCAATGGGTTCGAATAATCGAAATCGGAATATTGTGATAGACGAAAACTACTCCACTTTGACTAATTATAGCAAAACTACCGTTTACAACACACTTACTTCCTGTAATCAATTGAGAAAAAATAAATTAAAAAAAAGATGTGTAAAAATTATTGTATTGACATTGAAGACATAAATGCTTGCATTTTATTCTACATTATGTATTGTTTCGTTTCGCGCAAAGCCTTGATAATGGCCGTGTTGTCACTTCGGTATTTACAGCTAAACTCTGGTATTTTCGATTAGGATAAAGGCTCTCATGTAGCGTTACAATTAATGAAAAAAATGTATTGGATGTTTTGACAAATTCATATATACGGTATGTATGAAAATAATTGCTGTCATCTTCAAGCAATACCATAACAAAATCGGACATTGTGCATAGCTTTTCATTTTCGATAACTAAAGTGGATTAAAGAACACACTAAGAGTTATTATAAATACACGCATGACTGTTGATATTTTTCACAAGTCGACTAGACGTAAGCGAATGGATCTGCGCCAATAAGTCTGGCTTCGAATAATAATTAGACTGGCTTCGAATAATAGGTGTGAAATTCTAACATAATTGTATAATCGGGTTTGTCAATTTTAAAAGGGAGCAGAGAAAGAAAATACGAAACATGAAAAACTCATCGCCTAAAGATTATTGGAATTATGTTAATAGTATAAGTAGGAAAAAACAAATGACTGATGTTGATGTTTCAGCATTTTATGATTTTTATAGACAGCTTAATACAGATACAGTAGATGCAAATGACAACCCAGAAACAGATTTTCCAAATGTTAATTTTGATAATGGGCTTAATGATAGCATAACAATCTCTGAGATACAAAGAGCAATAGATAAACTTAAGAATGGTAAGGCGGCTGGTCTGGATCAAGTTACTTACGAATATATTAAGGGAAGCAGTACTTTACTTATACCACTTTATCACAAATTGTTTAACTGTATTCTTAACACTGGTTTTTTGCCAGATTCTTGGTTGACAGGATGTATTGTACCAATCTATAAAAATAAAGGTAGTATTGAAATGCCTGAAAACTATAGACCTATTACATTGCTTAGTTGTATAGGGAAATTATTTACAAGTATACTAAATGAAAGATTGACAAAAATATTTAGAAAGTTATAATTTATTAAATTCAAACCAAGCTGGATTTAGGAAGCATCATTCAACTGTTGATAATATTTTTATTCTCCACATGTTAACAGATTACCTAAAACATAAGAAAACAAAACTTTTTTGTGCTTTTATTGACTTTCAAAAAGCCTTTGACTCTGTATGGAGAGCAGGCGTTTGGTGTAAACTTGTCAAATACAATATTTCTGGAAAGATTTTAAATGTAATAAAGAATATGTACAGTGAAATCAAGTCATGTGTATCTGTAAATGGCAAATTTTCAAATTTTTTTGGTTGTTATAGGGGCTTAAGACAAGGAGAAAATTTGTCACCGTTAATTTTTTCTCTGTACCTAAATGACTTAGAAAATTACATGTTATGTAATAACGATGTTTTAGTTATACTTGAAGATAATAACATTGAAATATTTTTGAAACTTGTTGTTTTGTTATATGCTGACGATACCATTCTTTTTGCTAAATCAGAACTAGATCTTATATCTGTGTTGAACACTTTTTCTAATTATTGTCATATCTGGAAATTAAATATAAACTTTGATAAAACAAAAGTAATTGTATTTGGTGATAAAAGAAATAGAAACAGGAATATTACGGTAGATAATCAAGTTTTAGAGATCGTAGACACGTTTAAATATCTTGGTGTAGTTTTTTCTAAGAACAGACAATTTGCGGTTGCAAAGAAACATATTGTTGATCAAGCAAGACGGGCAATGTTTGGTTTATATCAGAAAATAAGAAATCTAGATTTACCTATTGATTGTCAGTTAAAGTTATTCGATCATACAATTGTACCAATTTTAACTTATGGGTGTGAAGTGTGGGGTTATGGTGACTTGTCGCTTATAGAAAAAGTGCATACAGATTTCCTTAAATATGTATTACGTGTTAAGAAAAGTACACCGCATGTTATGGTTTATGGCGAACTTGGGCGATTTCCATTATCAATTACTATTAAGAAACGAGTTGCTGGTTATTGGTATGATTTAGTTAACAGTAATTCACTACAAAAATTATCGTCAAATATTTATAAGCTTGTCTATGAAGATTTTGTAAGAAATGGTAAGGAGTACAAATGGTTATTGAATGTTAAGAGTATTTTTGACGAAACAGGTATGAGTTATATTTGGTTAAATCAGAAGTTTAGTGGTTCTTAATGCTTATTGTTAAAAACCATTGATATATCAATGTGTAACCAATATGTATAAAAATGGCGTAGTGATGTCGACTCAATGCCAAAATGTTTAAATTATAGAATGTACAAAACTGATCATTGCTTTGAACCGTACCTTTGTTTACTGTCAGACAAATATTTAAAAACATTTGTTAATTTTCGATTGTGTAACAATCTCCTCCCTATAGAAAGAGGAAGGTGGTTAGGTATTGTTAGAAATGAAAGAAAATGTAGTCTTTGTAACTCAAATGATATAGGTGATGAATTCCATTACATTTTTTCATGTAGTTATTTTGAAAATAAACGAAAACGACTTTTACCACAAATTAATCAACAAAACAAAAATATGTTTACGTTTAGAAAATTAATGAATGAAACAGATCCACAAAAATTAAGCAACTTAGTTAAATATGTTTATGTTATACTTGAATACTTTAAGAACCCACCTGGCTAGTCACATTGTTTTGTTGTTGTTTTTTTATTATTTACAATATATAAATATTTTTCTATTTTGCAAAATATAGCATGTACACAATGACATAGTTACATTGTATGTTATGAAATATTGTAGTTATAAATACTTTTTTAAAACTACTGTAGTTCATTTAATTTGTATACACAACCTGATTACACATTTAGTAATTTTGTTTATATATTATTGTACACCTCTTATCATATGTAAATATGCTGAGTGTATCAATAAAACTTGAAAACTTGGTTCGAAATTTTACTTCGAAAAATATGAGGTATTCGGATAATGCATTTCGAATAATACGCTCGTATTTATATTGTTTTATATAGAGATAAAAACGGGACGGATAATGCCGGGTATTCGAATCAAGGGTTGTCGAATAACCGGGGTCGGACTGTATTTCAACTTCATGAATTCATGATTTAACGTTTTCAACTGCACGAATTAACGATTTCACCATCACAATTCAACTTTGTGAATTCACTATTTCAAGTTCACGAATTAACGATTTCAACTTCACGAATTCACGTTTGATACAAGTTGTATCGATATGCGTGAACAGGAAGTAATTGCCTGTACTAATTCACGATTTCAACATTGTGAATTCACGATTTCAACTTCATGACAAATTCACGATTTCAACTTCACCTGAAGTTGAAATCGTGAATTCATGAAATTGAATTCATGAAGTTAAAACCGTAAATTCATGAAATGAAAATCGTGAATTAGTACAGTCAATTATGTTCTATTGTCTGAATGACATGTTTTTCTTCTGTACTTTTGTTTCATATGTGCATCTCTGTTTTTACTTCTGACACCATGTACTTTTGTCTGAATGACCGATGGTCAGTTATAACAATAACACTGTTAAATATATATAAGTTTTATTCTAAGTTAAACCCACGTGACTTGAGAGTATATCATATTACACAACACCCCCTATTACCACAAATATTTCATTAACAAAAAATTTAAACTCTGTGAGAAAATGTGAAATGTAATTTAAATATCAATTATGTTTTTTAAACACACATTATTGTATAATCATTAAATCCTGTCAACATGTAATCATTTGTTAAACCAAGAACAACATTACAAATTTAATCTATCTGGGGATTTACTCAGCCTGCCTGATCTAGTAATTACACCTGCACTCTGATTTTGAGACACTTGTTTACACTGAATTAGTTGGTACAGTAGACAATAAAGTTTTTGAGGTGTTATAATTTTCATTGAAAGGAATATCTATTTCTTTATCAAAGTCAACTCGTTTATGCAACTTAACTAAACTACGGCGATTTCTTTCAATGGTAGATTTCGGTGTCTCAACTATAAAAGATCGTGGTCGCGAAGCTTTCTTAATTACTCTACCTTCGATATTCATGTCTTTCACATGTACTCCGTCCCCTTCCTTTAATGAAGGCAAATTTTGTGCACGTCTTTTTCTGTCATAATTTTGCTTAGCGTTAGCACGGTATGTTTTCTCTCTATTTTGAAGTACTTTATAGTTTATATTGCTTGGTAGCAGTTTTTGTGGTGCTTGTGGAAGAGTTGTTTTAATCTGCCTACCAAATAACATTTGACTCGGACTTAAACCATTATGCGGTAAAGGAGTCGCATGATAGATCATCATCGCTTCATAAGGGTCGTCGCATTTAGACAATAAACGTTTTACCGTCTGAACAGCGCGTTCTGCTTCCGAATTCCCTAAGGGATATCGATGACTACTTGTTATATGTTCGATTCCGTATTTCAAACAAAACTGTTTGAATACATCAGAGGTGTATTGCGGTCCTCCATATCGCATAGGCCATGTCTCGATAATATTTTTGACTTGAAATGTTCAACTACCGCCATCGAAGACGTTGACGTAAGTCTCGATAATTCTATATATCGTGAAAAGTAATCTACTACTAATAAATATGTGTGTCCGCGCTAATGAAAAAGATCTGAACCTAATCTTGACCAAATTCTATTAGGAAATGGAGTAGATATCATTGGTTCTCTTTTTGTCATTTTGAAATTTTGCACAAATATCACAATTCTGAATCATTTGCTGTATGTCACGATATGCCTACCCACCAAACTGATTCTTTTGCCCTTGCTCTACATTTTGAAATGCCTTGGTGAGCTTGGTGTCTTGCTCTACATTTTGAAATGCCTTGGTGAGCTTGGTGTCTTGCTCTACATTTTGAAATGCCTTGGTGAGCTTGGTGTCTTGCTCTACATTTTGAAATGCCTTGGTGAGCTTGGTGTAACTTAGACAGAATGTCTAGTATCATGTCTGTCGGAATAATAAGTCTGTCATTTCTCATTAACACACCTTTATTCACAGTAATTTCTGACCTAAAAGGTTTATACAATTTGGCAAATTCACACGATTCTGTATTAGGCCACCCATTATAAGTATATTCAATTAATTTGCTGCACACAATTCATTACAATTTTGATAGTAAATGTTAAGGTGTCACATTCAGCACGCGACAAGTAATCAGGAATATACATCAATTTTCCAGGCACAAAGCTTATTGAGTAGGAGAATCTTAGCAGTCTCATTCTAAATCTTTGTACCCTTACCGGTATATCACTCAAGTCCTTTTGTCCTAAAAGACTAACAAGACTTTTATGGTCAGTTTTGATATGGAAATGTTTTCCAATCAAAAGGTCACTATGTCGTTCAGCCCCAGTAACTACGCCTAGTGCTTCTTTTTCAAGAACACTGTATCTAACCTCTGTGGGTGTAAATGCCCTTGACGCAAATGATACTGGCTTAAAGTCACCGGTAGCATATTTTGAAGAATCT